GAAAAAAAATTATGCCCTAGGTAAAACCCCTCAGTTGCTTCTCATTGCTTTAAGGGAAATGTCTATGTCCAAGTTCCCTTATATGTATTACACAATGCTTCCCCACAAGATCTTTGGATCAAGACCAAGGTGAATAACAATGTGGAAGATGTTCCTTGGATATTCATACTATCCATAATCCACCTTCAAAATCCATTTTAAAAGATCCAAAAGAGAAACTTCCTGGACCAGAATAAACTACAATTATCTGATTCCTCAGCCTTGTAATGTTCCTTGGGATTTCTCCTTATTGAGTCCAAATTTACTGCCATGATTCACAACCTAGCTGAAGCCAAAATCAGTAATGACACCCTTAGAAGCTTGTCCGTTCCTCCATCACCAAACAATAATGATGCTAGTCTCCATAAGATTTTTAAAAATAAAATATCAAATTGGCCTAACTTTTTTTATAAAAGGGGTTTACTGGCAAATAGAAGTCAAAATACAACCAGCAGAAGATAAAACAGTGCCCTCCTTCTCTGACTGAAGAGGAAGGAGGTATTTCAATTGTGAACTGTGATTTACAATAATATGTTTTGCAATGCTTCCTATGGCTGAGAGAGAATGGTAACAAAGATACTGCATTCCTGATACCGATGTTTCAAATTTAGATGCAATGGAAGATGGACAGATTTTCAATTCCTCCTAGGCTATATGAAGCATGGAATACTGCCGCTTCTACCCTAAAATGTAAAACTAGATAAACACCAAAATCATAATTTTCTTTAAACTATCAGAGACCTGAGGTCACAGGTCAACCAAGTAGGCTGGATTGCAATGAGGAACAGGCTTCTCCAAGGAGAGACAGGCATATGGACAGGCACAACTTGAGCAGAGCAGAGGTAAAAGAGGAGCTGGCTGCCATACAAGCGAGAAAGAGAAATCAGCTGAAAGACTTAGTGACAGCTCTCATGACAATATAGAACTGCTGGGAGTCACAGACATAAAAGGAGTCTGCACTCACTGGTAGGACCTCCACCGTGTGTTCACAAAAATGACTGGGGACAGCATGGGTGACCGAGAGAGCCCCGTCAGAGACATAGGCCTGCAGGATGTGATCAGCTGTGACTGCAGGAAAGCACAAATCCCAACACCTTGCGTAGATCAGTCTCTCACATGAAGGAAAAGCCTGAAGACGTTGGGTATGGGGTTAAAGAGATGACAGCAAATTCTGTCACACACACACCGCACAGAGCACAGTGAAGATCCATTGCAGCAGAGAGAAGAGTCAAGGAAAATGGCCTCTACCTTTGGGTAAGGGACAAGAAGCCATTCTGAGCTGAAGATGATATAAAAATACCGCTATAATTTGGCTACCAATGAGAGACAGAAAATTCTCTTGCACAAGACCCACAGAGAAACATGACAGTGTTTGGCTTCCAGCGGGAGGAGAGGGGTGAATGCCAAGAAAATCCTAAATCCCAAATTCAGGCACATGGGATAATCTAAGATTGAAGTTGGATCAAGACAACAGAGAAGTCCACTCACCCACACAATGAGCCCAGCCAGCATTAAGTAACAAAAAACAGCCATCTATTGTTGGCTGGGAGGGAGAGCAAGTGAGAGAGATCCTCTCTATGCTGTAGGATTGTAAGGACAGCTAAGTTGTGGGTGGACCTAGAAGTCCGGGGTGGAGTACTTTAAAAGATAGAGATTCCCTTTGAACATAACCACAATAGCATTAATAGTTGATATAAATTAACAGTAATTTGAGAAGCTAGATTTCAGCGGCTCATCAAGCAATAAGATTGTTTTAGGAACACTTCGATACTTAATTTAAGGGTAGCTTTATTGTAGAACCCTCTATTTCCAGGTCTTCTACTTACTTCTTTCTATTCCTAGAGATGACGTGGCTGAACACCATATCAAGCTGAGTAAACTATCATTCTTACTTGTGTTATATTATCTTTTCTCAATCTTTTATCTCCATGGAGTTTTACCTTAAAAGATGTTTATTCATATGTTTTTATTCACTAGGTATAAGTCTGAGGAGGCTGGTGAAAAGGGATGTTTTTTATTAATATTTTTATCTGTCCAAGATTTGTCATAGATGCTAAAACTGTGGCTTCTAGAGAGTTCCATTGCAAGACTGGGGAAAGAAGAGCATCATTCTGGTTCTCCTCAAGTTTCCTGTAGATACTCTAGAAATAAATTATAAATTCTGAAAATGACCCAGTAATCAATCTTCATAGTCTTAACAGTGGTGTGCGACCAGGAAAAGGATGTGATGCAGAATCCTTCAATACTGAATGTCTGGGAGAGACAAACAACTATTATCACCTGCAATTATACAGATGGTGCTTTGAATTATTTTCTTTTGTACAAGAAGGAAGCAGAGAAAAACTCTACTCTTCTAATAGAGATTCATTCAAGTGTGGATAGAAAGCAGGACAGAAGATTCACAGTACTGTTGAATAACAAGTTCAACATGTCTCCTTGCATGTCACAGCCACCCAACCAGGAGACTCAGCCTTGTACTTCTGTGCAGGGATCACACAGAGCTCTCAGGCCCCTGCAGCCTGCAGCGGGGGCTCCAGTCACCTGCTTTGTCCTTGACTAGGTTTTTGGATAGAAAGTCTTGTCATAATGCACTTATTTCCAACTGGAAATGAATGCAAAGATCTAACTGTGATTATAAAAATTTCACTTTTCAAGTAACTCAAGATGAACTGCTACTAACTCAGACATTCTGCAGGAGAAGTAGTGGTGTTTTAAGCAGATATGTAAATTGTAAAGATAACCTCACTGGGGTATTTAAGGTTCTCTCATTGAAATCCTACATCTTCCATAATATGCCAAGGAGATCTAGAACTTTTCTGGGTGACAATTTGATGGCTTTCAGAAAAAAGAAATAATTATAAAATTAACACATGCTTATTACAGATACTTTTGATAATATAGAAAATGTAATGGAAAGATATTGGATTTTAACAATCATTCAAAATTTCACTACCCAAATATAAGCATTTACGGTAAGTATTATCATTCTAGGTGTATATTAATTATTTGCCTTAATGACTGAAAATATCTTTGTCATGTAACATGTACACCCATTCTCCTCTGTAAAGTCCATCTTCAGAGTATGGGTGTTCGGTTATAAATGGTACAATTCAAGTAGAAATCAGAGGAATTCTTGCAAAGCTTTTTCACATTGCAACCTCCCTCATTCAACAAATATTTACTTATTGTCTACTCTGTGCCAGACACTGTTCTCAGTGCTAAAGATTGAGCAGGACGAACAGAAAGGAATGGCAACATTTAACTCTGTTCTGCCTCTCTCCTCTGATAGATGTCTGCTCACCAGAAATAACTGGGACAGTTTTTGACGACAGTGTACACCCTGCTTTCAATCACACTACTCGAGAACTTTGAGATTTTGCCCAAACATGCCACCAATTCCTTCATACCTCCTAGATCTGCATATACGTCAGCAACAGTATGAACTGACTCAATTTTTCCCGATGTTCCTTCAGGAAAGGAAAATAATAACTATTTTTAAAACTCCATTCAAATTACAGAAGAAAGCTCACCAATTCTTTTCAGGCAAAAAAAAAAAGTAGTTAATATATATAAAGGAGGGCTAAGAGTAGTGAAAATATTTTTAATACAAATTATTCTTGGATTTTTGAATAGGTAATAAATACACAAGGTATAAAATAAAAATTATACAAAAGGAAATATAGTGAAAAGTAACATTGCCTCTCGCTTTTACCCCTATTATCCTTAGAAGCCTAGTAAAACCACTGTTAAAATTAAAATCTTCCTTGAGTTATTGGTCTTTTTATTCTTGAGTTGTAAGAGTTCTTTATATATTCTGGCTACTCAACCCTTAACAGATATGTGATTTGCCAATAGTTTCTCTTATTCTGTGGGTTGTCTTTTTCATTTTCTTGATAGTATCTTTCGAAGCAGAAGAGCTTTTAATTTTGATGAAGTCTATTTATCTAGTTTTTCTTTGGTTACTTGGTCTTTGATGTCATCTTTTAAAACCATTGCCTAATCCAAGGTTGCAAAGATTTACATCCGTGTTCTCTTCTTAGAGTTCTGGAGTTTTAGGTTGTACATTGAGGTCATTGATCAATTTCAAATTATTTTTTGAATAAGGTGGGAGGTAGAGATACAACTTCGTTCTTCTGCATATGGATAACGAGACATGTGGAGTCCCTAATCAAAAGAAAACTGAATCGCTATACTAATGTCAGATAAAGTAAACATTAAACCAGGAATTATTACCAGAGATACAGAGCAATACTTTAAAATGATTAAGTGCACAATCTACCAGGAAGATAGAACAATTCTATTTTCATATGGTCCTAATGGCATAACTTCAAAATATATCAAACATAAATCAGTAATTAATCAGTAGAATTAAACTAGTAGAATTTGTTGATTTAAAAAATCAACAAACAAATATACAACCATAGTGGCAGGTATTAATACACATCTCTCACTAGAAATGTAGAGAAAATATGATCAATACTGTCAATATTTTTTACCTAATTTGCATATATAGAACAGTTTACCCCCAAACAGCAGGCCACGTATTCTTTTCAAATGCACATGGAATATTTATAAAAGTGACTCTATTCTGGATCTTAAAGCAAGCCTTAATCAATTTCAAAGGACTTAAATCATTCAAAACATAGGCTCTGATCACAATATTAAGCAAGAATTCAATTACAAAAAGACAGTTAAACTTCATTCCTCTACCTTGCTAGATATAATAGCCACTTTTCAAATGTATCACCACGGAAAAAAAAAAAGACAGAGATTTGGGGTAAGGTAAATGTTCCAGTATTCGAAATAGGGCAGTGTAACATCCTGCTTACGAACCTGTCTTCCTGTTTGGGGCAGAAACTTCTAATAGCCCCAGGAACTCAGTGCTCAGGCACTTAGAGGAAGACTGATCTCTGGGCTTGAGTGAGAACAAGAGAAATTCAGCCAGGAGAAGAACTTCTACCATGCTCTGCCCTGGCCTGCTGTGGGCATTCCTGGCCTCCTTTGGCTTCAGTAAGTGTGGCCCTAAACATGGGGCCTCGGCTTCCTCTCAGAGCTCAAGAAAGGGAGTATGCAAGTTGTAACTGGTGGGGGTATTAAGAGGGGAGAGAGGTGGGGAAATGAAACACTATGTGATTCTTTTCTTTGTCTTTGTGTCGTAAATGAATCTAGTCCTCATGTCCCGTCTGAGACATTTTAGAGGACCAACCCTGTCTTCTCCTTTTTCCACAGGATCCAGCATGGCTCAGAAAGTAACCCAAACTCAGACCATAATGACAAGGAGGGAAGGAGAAGCTGTGACCATGGACTGCACGTACGAAATCAGTTGGAGCAGTTACTATGATTTGCACTGGTACAAACAGCCTCCCAGCGGAGAGATGGTTTTCCTGATTTATCAGGATTATTACCAATCAAGTGCAAAGCAGGATCGCTTCTCTGTGAACTTTCAAAAGGCAAAAAATTTCATCAGCCTCACCATCTCTTCCTTACAACTGAAAGACTCAGCGATGTACTTCTGTGCTCTCCGGGATCCCACAGTAATAAAAACGACGGTGGAAGATAATCAAAAACCTTAGAGCTCCATAGAGGCAGCCACCTGCTCAGAGGCTTAGGAAAAACCCAGGAACCACAGACAGGAAGAAGGCAAGCACTGTGGTAGCACAGTTGAGACCTTCTAATGTAAACTCTCTTCCTATAAAAAAATATTCCCATATTTGAGCTGAGTATATAAAACAGCCTTCTTCCCTGAGATTCCCAGGTATTACGTTTATATCTTAGGTTAAAATAAATCACAAAGTGCTTTTCAACTTGTTCCTAAACAGCTAGATTGAATGAACCCATTTATTTCAGGAAAATCAGAAGTAGTTTTCTAATTATGATCTCAAATTGTTGGATTCTCAAATCTGAAATAGCACTAATAACCATTCATTTCTCTTCCAATATCATACTGATTTTAACAATTCTTACAAGTAGAATAATTCATTTTATTAATTTATATATTTAAATACAGATAAATTTTGTAAACACATAAACTTATTTTTATGTATTTTAACACATAAATATGTGACTGTTACTGGAATCAAGTAGATAAGAAGGCAACTAATCTTTTGAAAGAGCTGTGTGGCCAAAAGCAGCTTTGACTGAAACAAACTATGATCATTAGAGATTCAAAGTAATCCCCCAGCTTAAGAAACCCAAGCAGAGAATGGGCTGAGAAATCTATCCCCCAAGGAAAGCATAGCCCTTAATGTGTGGCCAAGAAGATCATGGAAGAAGAATATTCCAGAGGGCTGAGCCAGAGAATGTGAAAAACAATGAGCAAGAGAGCTCCTTGCATAAAGCACAATCAGAGTCTCATCACAGTGGGGTAAGGAATGCCATAACTGATGCCTCCTAGGATCACAGACTAGCTTCAGACCAACACTGAATGTCTCTCTTTCGTCTCTTTTGCAGGAGAAACTTGTTCAAGGTAATCCTCTAACTGTTCCATAATTGCAAGGTAATCCTGTAACTGTTCCATAATTGAGTGTGTGGAGGAGACAGTTTACTTGTTTCTTTTATTTGTTTGTTTGCTTTCTGCTTGTTTTTTCTTCATAAATCTTTAGACGAAGAGGAGCCACATGAAGACAAGAGAAAAACTATAGGAGATCAATCAGAGACCCTGCCTTTGATCAGAAAGGGTCACAGAAGGGATGCTAAGTTGTCTCCCTTGGAGAAGGAGTACCTGTCTCCTGCATGGGGAGAAGAGAGGAAAGGAATTCTTGGTTACAAGTCCAAAGGCTGACTATGCACTGTTCATCAATATTCAGTTCCCCTCTCCTTACAGCAACGCAGGAGAATTGCATGCCTCCTGAAGATTGACGTGGTCATATGACTTGCTTTGGCCAAAGAAATGTGAGTAACATGGCATGTGTCATTTCATGATAGAGGCATTTAACTGCCTAGCTTAACTTTCCACCTCTGCTTCCTTGAATTGTGGTGACTGTTGGATTGTGTATTGATATGGAGGTTCAAGTGTTAGTCATCACATGTGGGATAGCTAACCTAGAGAATCACCTTGATTCAAAATGAACTATGTATGTGCAAGAAATAAACAACTGTTTCTTCAAGCCACTGAGATTTTGGATTTGATTATTGATCATTATGACAGCATAAATTATCATAACATGACTGGTGCACCAAACTTACCTAAATACAGGAAAAAAAAGGACACATTTTACAAGGACAGAAAAAATCTGACAGTAAAACCCAAATAAAGAAATTTTTTAAAAATTATAGGATAACCTCATTCAACAAACATAAATTCAAAACTTCTAAACAAAATATTAGCAAAGATAATTAGCAGTTTATATGAAAGGATAATATATCACAACCAAGTTGGGTTTTATGTAATGTTTATTTAATATTTTATATCAATCAAAGGAATCATCCACATTAATAAAAAACATTATTTCATCATCTCAATAGTTACACAAAAGCATTTGATATGTAATAAACATTCACTCATAATAAAGAAACAAATTCCTAGCAAATTAAGAATAAAATGAAAACTTCCTCATTCTGTTAAAGGGTGTATGCTACAAATATAAAGCAAATGCCAAACTTCATAGTGAAATGTTAAATGCCTTCTTTCAAGGAAGCCAAATACCACCATTTCTACTAAACAGTGTACTGGAGGTCATAGCCAGTTTAAAAAGGAAGGAAAAAGAAACAGAAGTTTTAATAATTAGAAATCAAGGAATATAAATAACAGTCACAGATACGATTGTGATATAGACAATCCAAAATAATCCACAAACATATTACATTACTAAAGCAGTTTAGCAATATAATATTTAAAATTATATTTTGTATGCAGGAAACTAGAAATTAGAAATGAAATTTTTAAAAATACTCTTAAAATAGCATAAAACTGCAAAATACATAGGAATAAATTTTTTTAAAGTGTTTATAAAACTTCAGCAAGAAAAATATAAAACACAAATTTTAAAAAGTGGAAGATGTAAATAAGTGTGAGAATACACCATGTTCATGAGTTAGAAGATGCATAATGCAAAAATGTCAGTTCTCTCACCTTTGGTAAATAAGTTCAATGAAATCTCCATCTGTCTCAACTGTGTGTGTGTGTGTGTGTGTGTATGTGTGTGAGTGTGTGTGTGTACTAGCCAACTTTAAAATATATATGAAAGAGAAGTTCAATAATATTCTAGACTCTCTGAAAGAAGACGAACAAGGAGGAGGACTTCCTCTACCTAATATTAAGCCTATGAAATTAAAGCTGTGATATGAGTGAAAGAATAGACAACTACACACAGATCATCAGCTAAAAGTGTTCTATTTGCCTCTCATCCACTCTCCATCTTTCTCCTGCCTCTGGAAGCTGATCTGAATGGACCTCATCAATACAGCTCCTTTTCCTTCTGGATAATAGTGGACTTCTGCCAATGAGAAGACCCATGCAGAAATCTGAAAGAGGTAACAGAGTAAGGTCAGGGTACTTATCCCTTGTTCCCTTCCTGAGGGATCTCTTTGAGTAGGTTGCACCATTTTTTAAAAATTGTAGCTCCTTTCAATTTGGCTGTCTACGTGACCATCTCCTTTCAGGTTTTGATATGCCCTACTTCCCACACATTTGACCTAGGGATAGTAAGAGCTCCATTGACCTACAGCTAATGAGATTGGACTGCAGACACTTCCTGGATATCTAATAGAGGAAGAAGTCTGAAAATTCAGGGAAATGAAAGTGTTTATAAATGGAATTTTTTTTTAATTTTATTTATTTATTTATTTTCCCCCAAAGCCCCAGTAGATATGTCATAGTTGTATGTCATAGTTGCACATCCTTCTAGTTGCTGTATGTGGGACGTGGCCTCAGCACGGCCAGAGAAGCGGTGCGTCGGTGCGCGCCCGGGCTCTGAACCCGGGCCATCAGCAGCAGAGAGCGTGCACTTAACTGCTAAGCCATGGGGCCGGCCCTATAAATGGAATTTATAAGTGCAATCTGATCATATGTGTGCTAAGCATACTCCCTGGGAATCCCAGAGGACACTCTCTTCACCAAGGTATCAAGAAATTTATTGTTGACCAGGTCACCAGAATCCTTAAAATGTCACTTGGAGGCAATTTCTGTAGGATGAAAATGTTGGGGACAGGAGTGGGCACAGAAGGAGGATATTGCCATATAAGATGCTTTCCTGATTTCAATCGGCATAATGAGATGCTAGGGTAATAGATGACAATGTTTAACAGACAGAGACAAAGTATGTGATATTACCAGAATAAATCACATGGAAAGAGTATTAATCAGAGTGTTTTAACCTTAAGAGATCTCTGGAGAGAGCTAATTAATTATGGAGCATCTAGAAATGAAAGAAAGGTGCACCTTACTAAGGTCCTGCTTTGTATCTTCTAGATCTGCTGGGGGAGGGGAAACATAACTTGAGTTGCTATAGTGGGGATCCATAGCCTCCTTATTCAGTTCCCTGAACTAAGCCAATTGAGAGGCCTTAGAATCCCTCAACTGAGAAAAAGGTTGAGACCATTTGAGGAAGACTTCAGGACACTACCAAGTGTTGGCAAGGACATGGAGCAACTACAACTCTTACAGCTTTATTACATTTATTACATTGTTGCTGAGAATGTAGAATTGTGCCACCACTTTGGAAAATGTTTTAGCATTTTTACAACATTAAACATTCACATACCACATGATTTAATAATTGTACTCTTAGGTTTTTACCCAAAACAAATAAAAAATATATTCACAGAAATACTCATATATTTGTATTCATATAGTCATACCAGCTCTTTCGTGATAGCCTAGAACTGGAAACAACCCAAATGTCCAACAACAAGTGAATTGAATGCTACTCGGCATAAATAGGAATGAAATACTTATATGCACAGTAACATGGATGCATTCTCACAATATTATACTGAGGGAAAAAACAAGCCAGATGAAAAGAATTTACACTGTATGTTTCCATTTATTTGAAACTCTGAAAAAGATAGTTTTAATTTATACTAAGAGAAAGCAGATCAGTGGTCACTGGGATTCTGGAGTTGGGGAAGATTGACTTGGAAGGGCAGCAAGGAATGTTTTGGGGTGAAATAATTGTTCTATATCTTGATTTAGACAATAGTTACATGAGTCTATATTTCAAAACTCACTATATTTCAAAACACGTAAAGTGGGTTTATTGTATTGCACCTAATTTATGCCTCAAAAATATTGATTTAAAAACAAAGAAAAGAACAAAAACAGTGAGATATTACTACACACCAACCAGGAAGTCTACACTTAAAAAGAAAGACAACACCAAGTAATGGAGAGAATGATTCCCTGACACTCTCATAGGCTACAAGCAAGGTTGCAAATTGATAATAATACTTAGGAAAAATGTTTAGCACTAACTTCTCAATTTGAAGCTATTCATACTTAATGACTCAGTAAAGATAGACATATAGATCAATGAGATGGAACTGAGTGTCCAAAACTAAACCCCTATATTTACAGTCAGTTGATTTTTGACAAGGGAAAAGAATAGTGTTTTCAATAACTGCAGATCCACATATAAAAGAATGAAGTTGTACTCTT